TGCCTTTTCTTTTTGGTTGATGTTGAGCTGAATCGTCTCGTTTTAGGTTAACACTTTCTTACTTTTGTGGTGGACTGGAAGATCTTGACCCAAAATGCTTCAAACCCCAAACACATGCCTTTTTGTACAACAACGTTACAAACTACAAGTACTTAATTGTTGTGGATCCAACCATCCTAACACGCTTGCTACTGTCAACAAAAGGAGTCATGCCAACCAACCCAACACTGTTTCATTATCTCCCTCTGGTTTTCAGTTCCTCACAGCTTCCCTATCCCGCCCTCTCTCCCCTCCTCGATCTTCACCCAACCTCATCACCACCCACTCTCCCCCAACCCCCTCTCAATCTCCCCAAACACTTCCGTCCCCTTCAACAACAACCCGCTCGCCAAACCGACCACGTCCGCACCCGCCTTCCTCATCCTCTTATACCCTGCTGTGTCCAACACCCCTCCAACACCAATGATCTGCACCCGATGCCCCAACTTCTCCTCCCTCTCATCCAGCATTTTTCTGAGAGTCTTGACATTCCCCAGCGCCAAAGGATGTAATGGGGCACCGGCTAGTCCTCCCGTTCCTAACTCCGTTGGTAACGCCCCTTTTCCTTCTGACCCATCGCCAGTAAAAGCGAGACAGTTGCCTAGGGTGTTGGTGGCTGTTATGAAGGTGATTGGACATCCCTGCTCTTCCTCCTCATCTTCCCCCTTCTCCTCCTCTTGCACCGCTCGTATCGTGGACGAAGCCTCCAACGCCTCCATCAACCCCAGGAACTGCGTCTCGTAAGTATACGGCGGCGTCTTCAACCCTACGGGAATTCTTGGTAAACCCCGATGGACCGTGTCGAACCTGATAGCCTCAGCGAGATCATCGAGATACCGTGCCAGCGCCTCGCGGGAGTAAGCGGGCGGAGGGTGGTGCGGGATGTTGGGGCAGGAGAGGTTGATTTCCATCGCCAGAGAAATGTTTGATGATGATGATGATGATGATGATGATGAGATGTTGGATTGCATACGGGCAATCGCGCTGTAGCACATTGCTACCTCTGAGGCAGTGCCGGTGACGGAGATGATTATTGTTTTGCTATGGCTGTTGGGAGACAAATAGCGGTCGACAACAATGTTGATGTAGGTTAGATAGGTTGTAAAGTGAATGGGGCTGTAGCCAAGGGAGTTTAGGGTGGCGTTTTGGGTTGAAGTAGTCTGGGAAGGAGAAGGGTTGGTGGTTGAAGAGACGGCATGGGAGGAGGAGTCGTAAAAGACGTAAAGATTTTTAGAGTCGTCATGGTCGAAGCCGGAGATGAGCGAGGTGCGGGTGGTTATGGCACCGGTGGATGGACAGTTCCAGAGGGCGAGGAGGTCGTCGAGGGTGGTAGCCGCGGGGCAGGGTGTGTTGATGAGGGGTGGGTTGATGTTCAGTTTTGGGATTGTCATTTTAGCGGATGGTTTGGTCAAATGTTTCTTGACCTGTGAGCCGTTGAAGTGTCTGACGTGAAGAGTTGGCTAAGAGAGATATATAAGTGTGAAAGCCGTCGAGATATCAGGACCCTTGGTCGTCCGATCGAGTCAACTGGACCCCGTTTCATACCCAGCGGGGTTAGACAGCTTTTGATAAGATAACAGAAGAGACGGGAGAACCCCGCTTGGGGTACTTATTAGGTAGTAGGTAGCTGAAGCTTATTCGCATGCCGAAGATAAAGATGGGAGCTCAACAGCTGGCCGAGGTCTGAGAACAAAAACTTCCTTCAGGAATTTCTCAGAAACGGAGGGGGCAACATATAAACAAATTTAGTTGGGTATATACTCTATCTCTTTTCTTCACTGATATCCAAAGCATAAACAACTTAGAACATGTCGTCGATAGCCTTGTCAGTGTCGTTCTTAATCAACTCGACCATGCCCTAGAAACCGAAAGTCAGTGATATGGTTACCCGACTGGGAACTGGCGGTTTTGAGGAAGGGACTTACCTCAGGCATGATTGGCTTGCCCTCCTTGTCAGTAACATAACGGAAGGGCATCTGTGTGCTCTCGTGCTCGCTGAACTTGAGCTCGGGGTGGTCGACGTAGGGGATCTTGTCAACGGGGGCTGGGAGAGGTCAGTAACAACCCCGTAACTGGAAATGACTCTGCCGAGATGGCTTTGAAGAGTTATGAGGTGAAAAGAAATAAGAGTCAAGGAAATGATGTCAAATGATGAGGCGATCATCTGAGGGTGACTTACTCTTGCCCTCAACAACAAGACGAGTGACACGGACAGCAGTGTCAGTGGTCATCTGCACGGGGCCGAGACGGCGACCCTCGAAACCCTTCTTACGGAGCTCAGAGGTTCTGTCTGTTTTGGTTGTTAGTTACCTGTCTCGTTGAGGTATCGATCTCTAGGAGTGAGTGAGTTTACCTCTCGGGGGGTCATCGCCTAAAAAACCACACATCGTCAGTATCCATTACTTATCAAGAACCTTCCTCATCCCACATCAAGGAAGAAAAACACCCAAAATACCGCCAAACAAGAAAACATCAAAAGTCTCGCCGTCCTCCGGGCTCAAGTCCTTCTTGGCCGCTGGATCCAGCAGGCAGACCCGGCTCTTATCAGCAGCATAGATCTCCTCAACACCACGGTTCTCCGCCTTGAAGGCCGGCACGGCAGCCAGCGCCGCGGGCACCTTGAAGCCCAGAGGCAGGGAGGTCAGATGGAACTCGGAGCCGATTTCTTGCGATTCCTTGGCGATAGCGAGGTACTCGAGCTCGGACCAGGGGCCCAGCTCCTCGTCGAGGTGCTCGACGATGTAGGTCTTCTTTGTGGCGGCCATTGCTGTGGTATCTGAAGTAGGAATAAAAAAAACTGTGTGCTGGGACCCAAATATGCAAGAATATCAAAAAGGGCCAAAGTGAGGGTTAAGTTGTGTGTAAGTGTTTGGACGATCTACACAAGGCCAGGACTAACATTTTCTTGGTGGAGCTCTGATGAGTTTGGTGGGGTTCTTCCCCGGCCGTGCCAAGACATGCCGTAACGGTGATCCAGTTCGGTGATCCGGGCCCGGTTGTCGGAAGCCGGCCCCGCATTCTCTTGTGTTAGCATTCCGGGTGGAGGTCGGGGACGGACGTAGTATGGCCTGGTTACATCTTTCTCTACTTCACGTCTTGCTCAGCCGGTGTAAAGTTCTGCAATTGGATATACGTAAATCACGTCTGACTGCCGAGATGAGCGGTGCTGACGGACAATCGCTCGGTTGTTTTGGTCTGGGCAGGTCTTATCTTCAAGTCTTGCCGTTATCCGGATCCATGATACTCTCCCTTGAGGTATTGATGTGTGTAAGACTAGCTCATTTTAGGTGCTCTTTGTCAATCAGCGAGTAAAGTTTTCGAAGACACGCTCTGTCAAGTCGTCTTAGTGGCTGAATAAGGGGCGGCTTATTGAAGTCCAGATGCGGTGCCTGAAGACCTTGGAGAGACTCCAGAGGTTCTCACAAGGCAGACTCCAGAAATGGTCTATACATGATTGAACGGCGTACAGTAAGAAGATGACTTCAAGAGTGCGTGGCAAAATATCTCTGGTAATTGGGTATCAAACTTCAACATTGACTTTGTAACGAAAGTTGAAAGAAGGAGACACATCCGGAAAGTTCAAAGATGATGGAGAAATGGAATCGGCTTGCGCGTCCAGAGCCATCCACGATGCAGGCACTGCATGGAAGACAAGGAAGGACCAGGTCCCCCAGCTGTGTGTTAGGCCACAGTACGAGGATCGCCCATTTAGCACTAATAGGGTCCCTTAACAAGCCTCATGTTAGGCCCAGCTGAGATGGAACGCCACTATCCGTGCCGCAGTGGCATTCATCCCGCGCATGGTTCAAGGACAGATTCCCTCTTTCCCGTTTCATGCTGTCTCAAAGCAGCAACATCTCGACCTTTTCCCAATTCCTACAACACTTCTGCCGTTGTTGTTGGCCGTCTACTATTCTCCCAAATGAACGTGGTTGGTGGTGATAGGTAGCCGAACTTACGACAATTGCCCCCCTCCTCCATCCCCATCCCACCACAACTTGAACCCAGCGACTTGAGTCCAGTTGGTGATCATGGCTGCCACCACCAATGCTGGCCGGTCCATGGCTAGCTGGAGACGACTGCCAACCTTGATCGCGGCATTCACCCTGTCATGGGCGTCTAGCTTCGTTGCCGCTGCTGGCTCCGCCGATTACTTTGTCCATGATCTGCCAGGCGCACCAGACGGTCCGCTGGTGAAGATGCATGCTGGGTAAGTTCCCTGTTGCTGCCTCGGTGGATTTCAAGGTGTGGGAGAACACCCAGGCTGACATATTCCCACAAGACATATCGAGGTTAACCCTGAAAACAACGGCAACCTATTCTTCTGGCACTTCCAGAACAAACATATCGCCAACAAACAACGAACCGTTATCTGGCTGAATGGTGGTCCCGGTTGCAGTTCCGAGGATGGCGCATTGATGGAAATTGGCCCCTACAGACTGAAGGACGAGAACACCTTGGTATACAACGATGGTGCTTGGAACGAGTTCGCCAACGTCTTGTTTGTCGACAACCCCGTCGGTACTGGCTTCAGTTATGTCGACACCAACGCTTACATCCACGAGTTGACCGAGATGGCGTCCAACTTTATCACCTTTTTGGAGAGGTGGTTTGCTCTATTCCCCGAGTATGAGCATGACGATGTAAGTCGCACGTACACCCAGAGCGCTGCAACCGTTTAACTAACATACTTTCAGCTCTACATTGCCGGGGAGTCCTACGCCGGTCAATACATTCCCTACATTGCTCAAGCCATTATCGAACGCAACAAGAACGCTGGGCCCGTTAATCATAAATGGAACCTTGCGGGTCTCCTCATCGGCAACGGCTGGATCTCGCCCAAAGAGCAATACGAAGCCTACCTCCAGTTCGCCTACGAGAAGGGTATCGTCAAGAAGGGCACCGACCTCGCCACTCGGCTCGAGAATCCAACAGCGCTCTGCCAACTAAAAATTACCGAAAGCCCTGACAAGATCGACTACACGGAATGCGAAGAGATCCTGCAGGACATGCTTCAACAGACCGCCGGCGGCGTCGGCGCCAGCGGTAAGCCTCAATGCTACAACATGTACGACGTCCGCCTAAAGGACGACTACCCCTCGTGCGGCATGGCCTGGCCTCCCGACCTCAAGAGCGTGACCCCCTACCTCCGCAAGAAGGAAGTCATCAAGGCGCTCAACATCAACGAGAACAAGTCAACGGGCTGGACCGAGTGCAACGGCCAAGTAGGCCTGAACTTCCACCCCAAGACCAAGCCGTCCATCACCTTGCTGCCGGACATCCTCTCCTCGGGCGTTCCCATCCTGCTCTTCTCCGGCGCCGAAGACCTCATCTGCAACCACCTGGGCACCGAAGCGTTGATCTCCAACATGGAATGGAACGGCGGCAAGGGCTTCGAGCTCACCCCCGGAACCTGGGCGACCCGGCGCGACTGGACCTTCGAGGGCGAACCCGCTGGCTTCTGGCAGCAGGCGCGCAACCTTACTTACGTGCTGTTCTACAACTCCAGCCACATGGCCCCATTCGACTACCCCCGGCGCACGCGCGACATGCTCGACCGGTTTATGGGCGTGGACATCAGCAGCATTGGCGGCCAGCCCACAGACTCGCGACTTGACGGGGAGAAGCTCCCCGAGACCACGGTGGGCGGCGCAGCGGGGAACAGCACGAGCAACCAGGCGGCCGAGAAGGCCAAGCTGGAGATGGCCAAGTGGGAAGCCTACCGCAAGTCAGGCGAACTTGTATTGGTGATCGTCATCGTTGCCGCGGCGATCTGGGGGTGGTTTGTCTGGAAGGACAGGAGGAAGACGGCTGGGCAGGGGTACATGGGCGTTGCTACGGGCGAGAGACATAGTATTTCTACCAATCCGTCGGGGTCTCGTCAGGGGAATGTCAGTGGTAGGACAAGGGGCCAGGGACTGGAAGGGTTCAGGAATAAGAGGAGTGGAAGAAGGGATGTGGAGGCGCAGGATTTTGATGAGAGCGAGCTGGATGATTTGCACTTGAGCAAGCCGGAGGATCCGCATGCGGATAGCAGGTATAGCATTGGTGATGCTAGTGATGATGAGGACGGGCAGAAGCCGGAGAAGAGTAGTTCTAGTGGGCAAGCTGGAAGGTCGTGATACATTGATATATGGTAGCTTTTTGGGTGAAATTTGATTTGGGTATTATTAGACTTTTGGCGTTTCTACACGTATATCGTTGGCAAGCGAGCTAATATGGGTTTTGCGTTGGGTATATCTTGATACCACAAAATACTTTTAGGTTCGTAAGTAGACTATCCGTACCATATACAGAGGCAGCGCCTATCTTCAAGTGTCCATACATGGCTTATAGCAGATACAAATCACATGTTTTGATATAAATGCATGGGAGCAATGCTAAACCATCGTATTGTGAAACTAGAAATGCATATTGAAACCATTCCCAGAGGATGTGAAACCTCACATACATTCTTCCTCAATCCTCGAATCTCATGCCCCCCAAATCAATCGTGTAAGATCATCGTATAACGTAAAGACCATATCAGGACGAGTATCTATCCTGAATCTAAAAAAGCAAATTTCATAGCCGGGTATCTTGTTGCGAAATCGTCGTGTGTCAGGCCTTTCTTCGGGCTGGCAGCAGTGGTCGTAGTTAGGCGCTGACTGTCTCGTTTGTTCCACTTCTTCTTTTTGGCATCCAACTTTTTCCCTTCCTCCATTTTAAAACTGCGGCGCGTTGTTAAGGATCGACACCTCCTCGCCAACCTTGAAAGGTGGGAGACCTAGGTATGGGCAGCCTGTTTTTTTTTAACATAATCGATTAGCAAATGCCCAGCTGTTTTTATGTAAACGTATACGTATACGTTTACGTGTAGATGAACGAGGCAAGGGAAGGGAGCGAAACGAGTGGAAAGGAAAGAAGAGGGGAAAGGAGGAAGAGAGGGGGAGGGGGTAAAAACATACCAGCACACCTAAAAGCGTCTCCCAGCGCACAACTACCACAGCTCCCCGTCTTTCCGGGAACCGTCAGATCCAGCTCCAGCAAATCCTCGCTCTTGAGCTTAAGCGTGTTAAGCGCCTGGTCCGCCTTCTCTCTGCGCGCCTTATCTTCGGCCTCCAGCCGCTCCGCCAGTCCGCACGTGCAGTCCTTGCACGCCCTCCTCTTCTTGCCGGGCTTGGGCTGGCACTCGGGCGGCTGCTGGATGGGACGACGGAGATCGGCTTCTGTGAGGAGCGTGTCCTCGTCGATTACGTCGTCGTCGTCGTCTTCGCCGTCGAGATCGAGATCGTCGTCGAGGTCGAGCGTCACGAAACCGACGCCTGCGGGGGCGGGGGTGACTACTTGCGCGGCAACAGGCTGGCTGATGGGCGCAACGGGGACAGCGTTGGGGTTGTTCTTCCTCTTGAGCCCGAAGCGCAGAGGGACGGCTTCCTCCTCTGCGTAGTCAGGCTTGGTGAAACCATCGGGCCCGGCGACGAGACCAGCTAGTACAGCTTCGCGGGCTTCGGGGGTGATAGTGTTACTGCCGAGGGTACCATCTTCGCTGCGCAGCTTGCCGCCGGCCTTGAGGCGGGGACAAGAAGCGCCCACACGGCGCGGTTGCTGAGCAGTGCCGAGGCCTCGGCGTGTCGGCTGCCGTCCGGGTCGGTCAGGACGAGGATCAGGTCGTAGGTGGATTGGGGGAGGGTGACGAGGCCGGCGGCGAGACGGTCGAGCATGTGCAGGTCGGTGGTGTCGCGGGGGTAAGTGGTGAAGAGGGCGCTGATGCGCTCCTCGTGGGAGGCAACCGAGGGAGGAGCGACGAGGAGGGTTCGTTGCGTCGAGGAGGACGACGACCCCGCGCCGGTGGTGATGGCGGGGTTGAAGTCCGATGAGAAATCGAGGGTTATGGGCGACATGGTGGTCGATGGCGGGGTCGTTCGACGACAATCTGGGGAAGAATTGGAAAATGTAGTGGCCCGTTTTTGCTGCTGCTATTCGGGACAGCAATTGGGGGAAAAGAAAACGAAAGTGTAGTCTTTGTCGGTGTTGTTTCCGAGATCGAGTCTCTGTTTCTTGTGATCCCGCGGAATTGCAAGAGTGTGATACTCCGATAAGAAACAGACAGCGAGGAATGACTGTGATGGTGGATTTGCAATTGGATAGGGCAGGAGATTAGAAATTCACTGGAGGGATTCTGGGCGCTGCAGGTTTTCGACAAATGTAAGATCTGCATTACAAATCTTTTGCCACTACGGAGGTTCATGTGCGGAATGAGATAGAGACTGTGCTTTGGCTGGGAAAGCTGCGCACAATATACGTGCGAATTCGGGAATCAGACGGTGCTGACCTAACAGAATGCTGTGACTGATCCTCTGGTGACATTCACTGAAGCACCACCACTATCGGACGGATTTGCCGATGTCGGACGACCCCCAAAGAGCACACGGCGGAAACCGACAACCGTACGACGAAAGCAGAAAGCCGGAATGTGAAAGTAAATATGTCATTTCGTTGGCTCTCTGAGAGAAAGGCCGTAGGGGTTCAATTGTTTTATATCGTACAGGTGGGCGTTATTTATTTGCGCATCGTGCGGTGGCAGTTCGGAAGAGATCCGTCATCAGGCCATTTGATATCCCGTTCTGGACCATCGTCGCATTGCTGGAGATGGTATCCAGGCTCGCCAGGCAAGACATGAACAGGGGCAAAGTAAACAAACGATGCCCGAGAAGACGAATGTTTGCCTTTACCCCTGATCCGCGAAGAGGCTCAAGAACAGCGCCGGCAAAGAATCATGTCATCAACGGACGGGCGAGAAGGCGCGACGCCGAACCGACACAATGCGATCTGCGCAAGTGTTGTTTTGAGGTTTAACCCGAAGATGTCTCCACGTCAACGGGATACATGTGTGTTTTGGACAACCTGTCCATTTCAGCTGATGACTGAAACCCGGTTCGTATAGTCAACAGACCCATAGTTGAAATGGCTGGTGTTGAGGCTGTATCGAGTTCTGGACCCTTCGATGACAAAGCTGTTCACAGGGCCCCATTTGAGTCACTGAAGGGTCCGGTCAGGTTGCCTGACACCGAAGGAAGGACGGACCCGCGATAAGATGATTTGACGAATTGACGAATCCGGTCACGGGCGGGGACAAGTTTCGAATCTGGCCTGATGTTCGGAAACTTCCACTTGCTTGCCGTTGACTGCCGTGGATGGTCACATGAAGGGGGTTCCCGGCAGTTGTTAGCCGTGACCTTCGGGTTCATGGATCTCGTCGTCCGAATTGCTTCATCCGGATTGCTATCTCGACGAAATTGCATTGACCCAAGATGGTTCTCGAGAATGGACAAGAAGGTTCGAAAGCGAATTGACGATCCGGCAGGCCTGGAAGTGTGAAAGTAATTGACGCTAAACTGCAACAGGCTTGGCGCCGGGTGTGTGCTCCATACCCCGCAAAAGCACCACCACAGTGCAGAACGACCGGGAGTCCCTGAGACGTGCAGGTGGGGAGGTCTGATGTCACCCGCATTGGTGCATTGCTGGGTCCTGTCAATTGAGCATCTAAACGGACTGTGCTGGTGCCCAAAGGTGCACCTGTGTGAACCACATCTTCACGATGACCACGGATGCCATATCTTGGGATAACTTGGCTGGGTAGAGATACGGCAACCAAAGTTCAAGAGACTAACACATATTTTATCAATGCCAAGGGCCCAGATGAGAAGATTAAAAGGCAGAGGAGCTGGACTGGCTTCATAGATTCCACATTTTGGTGGCAGTGTTGGTTGTCGACTTGGCGAAGCTCTGGGCAGGCTCTCGGCCAGTTCGTGTAAGTGAAGCACAGTCTTAATAACAAAGACTTATCTCACGACCTCCAGCTCCCCACAGCTTACAGGGGAGGTGTGGGTGTCCTTTCAACTTCTCGACCTCTCGACTTCCGGAATCCGGATCTAGATATGGAGTGGACGAGATGGGCAATGAGCTTCATCAAGAGCTGTGACTACGCCAGATAAGAGCTGGATGTTGTCAATCAGCAAGGGGAAAGATATGCAGATCACCATCCGGTAATTTCTTCATCACGTCAACGACGATGCTACCATCTTTGAGATTTGGTCACCACCGCTCAGAATGGTGACATGGAACGTTGAGATTCGGCATTGGAGCTTGAGGCTGACTTCGTTTCCACGATGGAGACTGGAAACAAAGAATTGGACGTGGGCCCCTCCTTCGCTCTTTCCCGCTGAGCTGGAAGCCCCGGCAAAGGGCAGTCAGGACAGGTCAGGCCAAGTCTCATGGACTCTTGCATCAAGTCGCGTGACTGCTCATCCGCGGCCTCCTCGCCAATCTCTCCCCACCAGTGACTTCCCAAACAGCAGCCGCAGAGCAGATCGTAGGTGCGAGCAACTTCGTAACTTCGTACCTCGACCCCTCTTCGACGATGACTCCCCGTCCCATTCCCATTGGAAGGTTTCGGGATCTTGCCTTTATAAGAGGAGAAGCTCCCATCCTTCCATCCCATCATCGTTTCCTTTCAACACTCACACACACACATCACATCACCACTTCACAACAACTGCAACTACCACTACGTACTACTGGTATTATTAGTGCATACACGACTTCTCTTCTTCTACCGTGTTTACAATAATCACAACATCCCATCTTCACTACATCTTGTAATAGTCGACTTCTTTCAACACTTCCATATCTGTGACATCACCCCACTTTGCACCTTCACAAAGCTGTAAGTTCAGACATCCCGTCCCCCTTTCCAAACTCCGACCATCCCGGCCATCTATCACCTCTTCTCCCATATCAGTCTTATCAACCCCGCATGTTGTTTGTGTGACGCTGACTGACCTTAGTCTCTCAGATCAACTTGACGACTACTACTGAATAATATCATCCAACAACAATAACGACAACACAATCTCCACGTACTACTTCACTTACATAACTCTTTCATCACATCAACCTCGACAACACTCACCAAGAGTACGTCCCTTCCCCTTGCCATGACACCACACGTGCTTCTACTTACACATATCTTATAGTGACTCGTTCTCACAAGTACAACGACAAGGCCCACGTCGCTCAGTCTGAAGACGGCACATTCGTCCCCGTCGAGCACGTTCCCAAGTTCTTTGGCAAGCACGGTTTCCCCGATGCCGATCCCAAGAAGATCAAGAAGAACGGCGGTGGCAGGAGCAACTGGTATGTGACCCTTCTCATCTACCCCCGTATGTCTCACCATGTACTAACATCACTCTCAACAGGGGCAACGCTGGTGACGAAGTTCTCGACGACCCTGAGTTCAGCTTCGTCAACGCTCGCCGTCACTCCAACGCCAGTGCCATTTCCAACAATATGGATCACTTCAAGTCCAAGTTTGAGGTCAACGAGCCCGAGCCAGTCTTCGAGGAGGGTGTCCACGATGCCCCTGAGGATGAGGAGGTGACTCTTCAGAAGACGGATACTTCCTCTAGCGGCGCCAGTGTCGATGACGAGCAAAAGGTCACCAGGGATTAAACGCTGTCCACCATGGCCGTCACACCGTCACCATCTTGATAATAACGAGGAACGATATCTTTACACTTATGACGACGAAACGATACGAAATGAAGGTAGTCACCTGCTGAAAATGCGGGACTCCAAATCATCAGCGACTGATGACTTTGGCGGAGGGTTTCCGGGAGCCAGGGGCAAAAGCACCCTGGGCGAACTGGATCTCTTTATCTGACTACCAACCATACAATGAACAGGAAACATCTTGGAAGAAATTTCGGATGGTGGAACGATATGACGCTTGATGCTTGAGAGATAGCAGATAGGCTACTCTAGTTAGTGGGCGGCTGGGATATATCGCACTGTATACTATTGAATTCAACCATGGCAATTTTGAAGACCACTGATCTGCTTTTTCTTTCCCTCAGCTCCATTCTGTCATCCCTCTTGAACTCCCCTCTAGACTCGCTCTTGAAATCCTTGAAGTCCCTTCTGAATTCCTTTTCTTTACTCCTCCATCATCGTGTGCAAGACGAGCACTTTCTATATCTGGTATGCTCCACGCTGAGCCTGTGTCCGCAACCGCCCCATAACCGGGAGCGACTTCTGACGTAGCCGCACTTGACCTTCCTGGACATTCTGCGCATGAAACCATCGCAATGATAGCAATGATACAACCAAACATGGGTTGTACACATGTTGACTAGGTAGGTAATTCGAAGTTGTAGTAGCTTTCTTGTGTGTCCTGGGTCTGAGGATTGTCGTTAGGTTGTTGGCACTGACCTCGTTGCAGCGACTTTCCGGAGATCGGAGTGCCTACACACAATACATGTACTCCCCAAAATCTCCCAGAGATCATTCACGTCCGAGACGATATTTCGAATGCATCGATAACCTTCCCGGCGTGTGCAATGCGAGATCTATATCGCGTAGGTGACTGAATTGGGGGCAGGTTGGTCAATGATTAAGGCTGGTTCCATACTTGATTCTCAGTACTACTAAATCCAGTCGATGACGAAGTATCGTTTTCTACCTTCATCTTTCGTTCAGACTCACTCACCGCTTTCGTCGAGATTGTCCAGTTTACTCTTTCGTTCGTACACCGACACCGACAACACCCTGCACGACCCAGGGAGTCTCATCTTCACGCCCTCTATCCATTTCTTTCCAGGTAAGTTTTGTGGTCCACCCTTCTCTTCAACAGATTCTATCTTACATGACATCTACATCACCACTATCTCCCACATACCCTAACCCCCCCCCCCCCCCCAAAAAAAA